GTATTATATTTAAAAAAATGGCGAATGCGCCAGGAAAATAAATTAATTAGAAAAAAATCGAATGAAATACTTACATTAAAGGAAATCCATAGAAGATAAAATCTCCTTGATAATCGCCCCTTGAAGTATGGCCACGTACCTACTTAAATAACGCCCTGTATATACAAATGTCACACTTCGCTATAGAGGGGGTTAGTTAAAATAAAAAAAAAACATACTAAAAGTTGTTTTGACAAAAAGTTTTTATGTTATCAATTTTAACTACATATTGTTAAAACGTCGCCAAAAACTTTTTCTTGGGTAAACAAAATTATTTGCAAAATAACTCATTTTTAATGCTTCTCAAAAAATTAATAATGATTTGGAAACCCTCTCAATCCTTTTGAGAAAAGTTCCAAATGATGATCAACCTTTTGAGCATTATTAAAAATGAGTTATTTTACAAATAATTTTACTAAGCCCAGAAAAACTTTTTGGCGCTTGGTTACTTTTCGATAAGCGTTATCCAATTGTACTTCGTATCTTAAAACATTTTTTACATAGAAATATTAAAAATAATGTTTTGTAGGTACTTACTTGGGTTAGTTTTTGTCAATCTAAAAAAATATATGTAAGTAATTTAAAATGCGTATAATTATTTAACGTTTACCCATGTTCTTTTAGGCTTAAATAATAAGAAATATTAGTAAATTTACTGCATCACTAAGAATTTTAAATGTTTTTTAAATTTTTAAATTTTTGACTGAATAAATTATGTTATGTTATGACATTTATTATTACATAGTGTCAAAATAAAAAATTTAAACGTAACCATTGTTTTTATTGTTTCTAAGGGCTTTGTGTTATTTTGTTTATATAACTCATCATAAATTTGGCCAATAGTAATTAAGGATTTTACTTAATTACCAGGTATAGATAAATGGATATACCCTTAACGTCGTGGTTTAATTAATCACTTCGGGTTTTCGGTGGGTCGAACAAATCAAAAATAATGGATATTAGTTTAACTCTATAGAGCCATTGTTGAATAAATGTCATAACAAACGGTAATTAAAATCGCATTGAATCGCTTTGAAAAAGGTTGAGGTTTAGAAATATGTAATAATAAGTAATAATTAATTACTCGACAAATTTTATTCGCAAAGTTTCAATTGCACAGCAGAACCGCGCACGTTATTTGTGTTTTGCGTTGCAGGTAAAAACTGAAAAACTTTGCTTGGTTTAGTATTCGATTTCGATTTATTATTCATTCGTGTGTGTATTTTATCTAAGTGATCATGGTGAATTATTGTGTAATTAATTGTAAATGTAATTCAAGAACTAATCCGAAGTTGCATTTTCATTTTTTGCAAAAGGATCCAATTCAGTACCTACGTATATTAAATTTTGATGCAGAATAACTTAAATTAATAAAACTTATATTTAAATTTGGACATTTTTAAGAAATCTAACAAAAAATAATAGATGTACAAACATAACCTTAAAACGAAACATTTTTATATATGAGTCTTCTAAAAAACGCCCTCAACTGCATTTTGAAATACTAGTAAAGGATATAAAATATTTACGAATTCATGGCAACATAATATTATATAATACTTATTTTTGGTCTTTACCATTGAGTGAAGAATTTCTTAATTAACGCTTTTAATAATTCATAATGCTAGTTTTTTAAATGTTCCCAATTTTCACGTAAATCATCAATAAACTGGGTATTTATTGTATCTAATAGGTACTGTATACGGTATTGATATTTGCGCAGGGACTATATGAAACTTTTTTTTTCTTTTGGATTCACACTGTTTATTGGAGAACCGGTAAAAACTCAATCCCGGATTTCCTTTCCAAAAACACCCAAAAATACAATAAATCGTAACACCTTTTTTTTCTCGATATTTTTAACATTTTCTGGGCTTATTCTTAAAAACACTCCTTTGACAGCTGCTTATTAAAAGACTGGACTTTCAACATGAAGCGAGCTAATGGCACTAATTATAAAGAGGGCTTTGTGAAAAAGTATTTTATTTGGAAAATAGACCCATTCAAAAGCATAGCTTTTGAGGATGCCAGAAAGGCACACGCGGCCAAAAGAAGAGAGCTACAAAAGCTTTCAGAGAAAAGAAAATCCAATTCTGCAGCTTTGACAACTGAAGAAAACTCACCGGACGGCTTACAAAAAAAGTTCTACCAGATTTTTGCGATCGAGCTCGCGTGGTGTGACAATGAAGCAACCTTCTGCATAGTAGAATTTTTCAGGAACGAAGTCGACATTTATGGTAAACTATTAATTATTGAGTATTGGAACACCATATTCTCTAAAAGTACAGAGGGCGGAGAGAAACATACCACTGCATCTAAATGGTTAACATAAAACAACGAATGTCAAGACAAGACAAGACACTCAGTATCCGCACTTACTACAGAAGATGTTAAGCAAAACAACATCAAATATCAAAACGAACATATTGTTCTTAACTTTAAATCCGGATTGGACAGGAATTTGGTATAAATATTGTCTAATGGGTATTAACCAACTCAGTAAGTGGACACGTCTAGGTGCCCAGAATATTGGGATTGATATCAAGAAGATAAAAATATCCAATCACTCAAATCGTTCTTCCGCTGTAAGAAATTTAATAAAATCTAAAGCGAACTTGCAAGAAGTTATTTAAATTACTGGTCATTCTGTCAAGCCATAGCAACGAACATCACCTTAACATCGTTGCAAAAAAAATAACTCTATCGTGCACTACCAGCTCAAGCTCATCTACAATGTTTTTAATATTACTTAGGTACGTTCAATATTAGTACAAAATAATGTATTATTATCAGTCTATGAATTGTATAATTGTAACGAATAAGTAGCAAATGAAAATAATGATTAATTTTCACTCGTAACTCGACATAACCCTTAAAATACCACTTGAGTTACACTCTCGTGGTTTTTGGCAGATTACCTATCGTTACTTTTAAACTATTTAATTATTTCGATGCTCTTGTAATATTTTAACTGATTATACCTTTTTATAAAATACTATTTTATTACGACGTTTTCTAATCTAAATCTAAAATACGTTTAAATTTTATTTTTGGTGTAATGTTTTTTGGAGGAAGAGTGGGAAAGAAACTAATTTTTATTAAATTATACATCCTGTACCATTGATTACGATTAAGATACATTCTTTGCCATTTATTAAGACTCTTCACTCAACGTCCTATACTATTCTATATCGGCGAGATAGTAGGACCACTCGACATAAGAATCAAAGAACATACCACGCTTGGTTACATGGTCACTATACCAGGTGGTCAGAAGCAAACATTTTGCAAAAAGAACCACACCTCACCAGACCCTTATTGCTATAGTAAGCCTTCTAAAGGCTTCTTCAGGTGAGTACTGAATAAGTTAAGTATCTACAGGTGGTCTTGGCGAGGTTGCCTTCATTGGACATACAAAACGTCTGGAAACCGTTATTAAATAGATGTAACCCTGAAATTAAACTATGCAGATTCTTCACACCTGGATGTTCCAGTGCATTCAGATGTTTTATTGTTAAATTGTTATTGTATCACTTTAGGTCGACGTAATGTCGACGTTGCCAAAATGACGTATATTGTTGGTCTGGGTTGTGGCGTCGTAGAGACGTCGATGTAAGGTCATCGACGTCATTTACAAATAATTACCTATAATCAACGTTTATATGACGTGACCATGTCTGCTGGGAAAATGCCTAAATCCCCCCGATGACCCGTTCCGGCGACAAAATTTCGGGAGTGGCCTTAACCATCGAAACTGTCATCCACTACCTCCTAAGTGAGATTTACCAAGCGAGGTAAAAATTCGGATCCATCAAACACACGGTAATGCTGTAAAGTTGAGAGATACTTATCGGAAATGAAAGAATAGAATTTACTTTTAGCTTAGTTATTAATAAAGGGATACATGTATACAAAATAATTATGTTTAGTTCTTAATTTTTAAGTTTTAGCAAATAAGTTTTAAAAAGTATAAACATTTTCTTAATTAATATATTTTCAAAGTATACTTTAAAAAGTGTGTAAAATCCAAAAATCAAAAAAATATAAGGCGTTTCATTGAAAATAAAAAAGTTGGTGTCGTCCCAGGAAAAACCCTGTATAAATGAAAATATAATACTTAAAAAAATTATTTAGATCATAATAGTATATTAAAGAACTAATGTCATAAGACGTCATTTTGTCGCACGCGGACAATTTATAAAACGAGCGACGAAGGATCGAGTTTTATGGACAAGTGCGACAAAAGGTCTTATGACATGAGTTCTTTATGCTATTTTATCTATTTTGCAAACATTTCATAAAACAAATTAATTTTATACCTTATATTTAATTTGGTCGAATTTTACTTTACATAGTTGGTATCTCAGTTTGAAGTTTGAAAGGTCATTAACCTTTTAAACATTATCACATTCTTTCGCCATGGCGTCGTTAATTTACAATGAGTATTTACAATAAGCGGCTGTTAAAGAAGAAAAAAGGATTTTCTTTGGTGTTAAACAAAATTTATTGCACGAAAAGTCTCGTAAGTACTAGAAAACAAATCATAAAAATATTATAACCTATAGGTATTCAAAATTGTATTTTACCAGTAGCCAACCTATAAAATCAAAATTTTGGGTGGAATAAAGTACCTCATTAAAGAACCAAAAGCGGTGTTATAATGAAGTCATTATGAAACCAAAATAGATAATTAAATTTTGTCCCGCTATAAATTTATAAACTCCATGGAGTAGTTGCTGCCCTGTATATACATGAATTTAGTTTTAATTTAATTGATATTTATTTTTGTGTTCTTAAATACATTTATTTTTAAACATGATTTTTACAATTTATTTTATTATAAAAAATAGGGCCAAAAATATTTTCTCTGCGGCGCTATTTTGGACGGGCTCTGACGGGATCCTAAAACTTGTTATTAATTAGTTTTTAGTTCATTGCGTCGACTCAAAGTCGAGCTCGAAGTTTAAAAATAATCACATCAATAATAAAATAATCTATTATTTATGACAAATTACCCACTTATATAGGTAGTTAGCTGGTAACGATGACTTGTACTTTACAACTTTACATCATTGTGTAAATTAAAAACTCTAAAAGCAAAAAGTGATAAATAATAATAATCTATGAGATAGACATCTTGTCTGCAACAACATAACCTGCATTAAAAAATATTTGGGACGTATTCGATAACCATGGCATCAAAATTCCTGCCAGATTTGACATCTAAATTGTCTTTAAATGACAGTGTGTCCATCCGAAGCTTCTGCAGCTATTTGGGCAAAGAAAACTTCGTATTTCGACAAGTAAGCATAAAACAATACACCTTAAAATCAACTTTGATAATAATTATTTGTTTTTAGCTGTTCGATTCGGTTAGCAGTACGTACACGTATTTGTTGGGCGATGCCGGTACGAAGGAGTGCATTCTTATCGACCCTGTTCTCGAGCAGGTCCAGCGGGATTTTCAACTTGTGCAGGACTTGAATTTAAAGCTGAAATATGCAGGTAAGCATTAGGCAACCCAGTTAACTTTAAGCCTTATTTTATCGATTACTGCGTGACGCGGCGTATCGTGAATGCGAAGAGACGCACAGTGATTCATATTAAACATTCTAACTAGACAAAAGTGTTTAAAAAAAAACTTAATTTCTACGTTTTATAAATTACCAATATCATTTATTTTAAGTGATTAAATTCAAAATTTTTAAAATATTTGAGAAATACCTACTAAGCCCTTACTATTTGTCAAGAAAGTTAAGTTTTACTTTTAAAAATTAAATTAAATTCTATTATACACTTTAAGTTAAGCTGCACATTTTATACAATTTATTTATATTAAATTTAAGTGTTACTTAAGATTAGATTTAAAAGATTAAATATACACTTTAGCTACTTTTCCGAAAAACGACATGGGGGTTGCCAAAATGCAACAAATAGGTGTGGAGGGATGTAAAAGTGCATAAACAATCGGCGCAAGGTGAAAAAGTTGTATAATTATCACGTAATTAATAAAAAAGGGGCTGATAATTGAAGTGACTTACAGTGATTTTCTGTGAAAAAGAGCATGTAGCGAGCCAAAACACATATATGTATAGAATATACGTAGAATTTGAAAGTGAATTGAAAAAGCTTGAATTATGAAAAACAACGTCATAAATTGCGGAAAATGCAATTTTTAAAATCAGGTAATTTGAGGTTATGCAGGTTCACAATCCAGCTTGCCCATAGATATATTATACCTCTATTGCTCAATGGGGCGGGGGGGGGGGGTCAATGGGGCGGGGTCGGTTGGGTTGGGTTGTTAAGTTTGGGTTGGTTTGGGTTGGTTTCGCTCACCTTTGCCCATTTTAGTGTACCTGCATAACCAAGATGACAGCTAATCTTCATAACCTCAAATTACCTGATTTTAAAAAATGCATTTTCCTCAATTCATGAAGTTGTTTTTCATAATTCACGCTTTTTCACTTCCACTTTCAAATTCTACGTCTATTAGATACGTGTTTTTGGCTCGCTGCATGTTCTTTTTCACAGAAAATCACGGTAAGTCACTTCAATTATCAGCCCCTTTTTTTTATTAAATACGCGATAATTATACAACTTTTTCACCCTGCGCCGATTGTTTATGCACTTTTACATCCCTCCACACCTATTTTTGGCATTTTGGCAACTTTCCTGCCGTTTTTCGGAAAAGTCGCTAAAGTGAAAATTTACCTTTAAAAGAATAAAAAATAGTAATTTAATTTATAAGTTACGTAACTATATGTATATAACTATATGTATACATACATACATAATATATTACTTAAGTGTTAACTATTTGTCAAACTATTAAGTTAAATATCCCTTAAACTGAAATAAATCCCTATTATACACTTAAGTTAAGTTAAGATTATTAAATTTAAGTGGCAAAGCGTTAAGTAATGCCTAACCTGCTTCTTAAGTGTTTAAACAACCTTTAAAGGTTGTCGAAAATTTTACCAGGTGGTAATAACATAATAAATAATATAAATATTATAAACATAGCTAGACCCTTAAAAGTCCGCCCTGAAAAATGTTTTATTCCAAATATTTCAAAAACCTGGGGAGATAGAAGAGTAAAATTTGAAATGAATACTTAACATTTCCCAGGCGTCCCAAACAGAGTGGAACAAAATTTAACCTTAACTTTTTATGTATTGACTTTTTGGCATTTCGGACCAACAATATTAAATAATAAAGTTTTTCATGTAAAAAAGGTGGTTTTGTCTTAATAGTCCGGTCAAATTAGACATAAAAATAGTGTTTAAATAACAAAAATTCCGACAGAGCTAAATTTTGGTAGAGACCTTGAGTAAACCAGTAGAAATAAAATACCAAAAGTCCCCATTGATCCCATGTGTGCTAAAAAAGTTACTCAAGGTCAAAGTAAAAATTTTCGTTTTTTTTTTATTTTTCTCGATAATGGTAAGTTTTATCAAAATTATAGCTCAGACAAAAATTGTAGATCATAAAATTATCTACAAAATTTTTTCCCATACTTTTTTTCCTAAGAATCACCATTCCTAAGATATCGCCATTCTAAAAGTTCAAGGAGTTACATTCTACATGATATGCACACATTTCCACGCCACCTATGCGGTAGTGTACTTGGCTTTTTTTTTTAACGTGGTTTCCCCGGTAGACCTATTCCTCGAGTTTTATGTAAACATACTGTATTTACTGCATGATGATAAGTGATATTTTACGTTAATATTTTAATCTGATTCTTACTCTTTAAATTCCACTTCAACAGTCATGTATTTTTAGATTTCTTCTTCTTTTTCCTCTTCTTCTTGCTGGATGTCCATAAATTGCTCAACTGAAGATGAATCAGCAGTCTCTTCATCGATATCAAACGAATCTTTGTCTATATGATTCGATTAAACATTCGAGCAAGACTGGCCTTGGCAATTAGTACACGCTGGTGAACACGACAAGCATACTCTTCACAGCTATATATGTAGCACTACAACCCTTTTTACTATTGCAAAAAATAGAGTTTAGGAGTTTTTCCGGTGCAGGTGGGAGGATAGTTTGAATCGGTTCCAAAATATTGTCTGTTAATTTCCAACCCCAGTCTTCGGGGTTTAGTTGATTGCCTAACCATGTCTGAACCTGATAAAATGCTTGATAAAAGTGTGTATACACACTTTTATCGAGCTTCTATAGAAGCCGATGTTGGAGGAAGACAGGATAGTTGTACTTGTTTCTTGTTCCGTGTATTTTTTACAAAAGTTAAATATCTATTCTTGTCTATACAATCAATTTTCTTTGGAGCTCCATAAACAGCAAGGAGAAAGCGAATTCCTTTTGTGATTATCGTTTGAGGAGAAGAGTCAATTTCTTTAAATACTTTAGCGCAATCAATTAAATCCATTTTTTCAAATAATTTTAATTCTGATGTTTTACCCCTTTTGAACATTGCTGATGTAGTATCGCAGCCGGTTACCGCATTTAAAAATAAAATATGGTTTTGGCATTTTGGATAAGCAGATAAACTTTTTGAAGAGTATATTTCTGTTCGCGGTTGAGCCTTTCCAGGTTTTTAAAAGTAAATAATTTTATCAATTGGAGTTCGTGCAGTAAGTAGTTCTAACAAATCAACATCTTTACCAACCACAACGGTTGTATTTGTTGCATTGAGTTGTTCAATTGCTGTTTCTTCTTTTTTATTTAAGTTTTTTTACCAGACCAGGCTTGACTTGTCTTGGTAATTGTAGACGAAACAAATAAATGTTAATTTTCCCGGCTTTTCTATAATAATAATTCTACTACCATTCTTTACTTTTAATCGTATTTTTATAGTTCTCTTTTCTAAAGCTACATTTTTACTAACATTCTTTAGTTCATCCAATGTAAACAGGCAATTATCACTACTTTCTATAAAATTATGAATTTCCTCCATCGCAAAGTTTGCTGCTTCATCTTGAGGAAGGCCTACTCTACTGCCAGTATTACCTAGGTCTCAGGAAAGGATTGTAACAACCGTCATGATACTTAGCCTCAGCAGCAACTAAATCGTACTCAAATTTAATGCGTTCAGTGACAGCTTTTGATACGTAATCAGAACTATCCTAAGCTACTGTCAAAACGTATTCTTTAAATGAAAGTGTAGGAACGTTATAAATTTTATGCACGATGACATTATAATATGACAATTATAACAAAAATTCTTTGACGTAATAGTTATTTATGTATTAAGGGCATAATAAGGTTTTTATGGTCCGAGGCGCTATTTCGAGCCCGAGCGCGTTAGCGCGAGGGCTAGAAAAGCGTCGTAGGACCATAAAAACCAGTTATGCCAGCAATACATACAAAACTTTATGCACGATTAATATATTATTATTTTTAATATATTATTGTTTTTAAAGACGTTTACGTCAAAGAATTTTTGTTATAATTGTCATATTATAATGTCAACTGACATCAGTCAGTTTTAAAGTTTAAAGATGAATGAAATTGAGGAAGCAGCTGAAAAGGCGAAAAATTGCGGCCTGCTGCCGGTAAAATCAGAATCTTTATACGAAAAAACTTACTTCGAATATATCAAATGGTGTTACATTGTTGTTTTTAATTTTTGACGTTTCATTATAGCCCGCTGGGCCATAATAACGCCCGCGGGCTATAAAAAGACGTTTACGTCAAAGAATTTTTGTTATAATTGTCATATTAAAATGTCATCGTGCATAAACGTCTTTTTATAGCCCGCGGGCGTTATTATGACCCAGCGGGCTATAATGAAACGTCAAAAATTAAAAACAACAATGTTACACCATTTGATATATTCGAAGTAAGTTTTTTCGTATAAAGATTTTGATTTTTTCGGCAGCAGGCCGCAATTTTTCGCCTTTTCAGCTGCTTTCTCAATTTCATTCATCTTTAAACTTTAAAACTGACTGATGTCAGTTGACATTATAATATGACAATTATAACAAAAATTCTTTGACGTAAACGTCTTTAAAAACAATAATATATTAAAAATAATAATATATTAATCGTGCATAAAGTTTTGTATGCATTGCTGGCGCTAACGCGCTCGGGCTCGAAATAGCGCCTCGGACCATAAAAACCTTATTATGCCCTTAATACATAAATAACTATTTTGTCGACGATGTAGCGATTTTTTTTCAGCCTCTTCATCCGCTTCATCGCCACAAAATAAGCAACATTTTTTAAAACAAAAGTCGGATTCACTTTCTCATGCTCTAATACGAGGTTGACTTACTTTTGATGTATTAACTTGTCTTTCCTTTTGATAACAGAAATTAAACTTTTCCGGGTGTATGATTTTGGGCAATCCACGTGCATTGTTACAGACTTTTTACTTCTCAGATAATCAACAAACTCATCACCTCTTTCGGTACTGGCATCGATCAAAGTTTTCATTCTACGACTAACTGTAACAGCAAGTTTATTGCAAATAAAGCATAATTGTGACATTTTTAAAAATATTAATCGGTACAAACTGTAATAGTAGATGCTAGCAA